CTCACACTTCACAAGTGCTGAGCCCAGGAAAATCTGCCCCTGTGCACTTATTGCTCCATCACTGGTTCTTCTGTAGCACAACTTTCTGTGCACTGACCTTATGCTTGTTATTGCAAGTGTGCAATGCTAATGAAGCCTCTGAACGGTAAACAAACCCAAATGTCTACCTTTGGTTCTAATCCTCGAGGCATTTCTAAAATTTACCTTCTCCTCAAACCTCTCCCTGGCCCTGTGCCCAAAAGATTTCACCTCTGAGCCGCGTCTGACATATTTATTCCAGATATACTGCACTGAGGAAAAGTGCTATCAGCTTAGCCTTTGCTTACTCTCCCAGTACAAACACAGAGCTTATGACAGAGTTTCATTAGATTGATTCACCCTTCAGTTTGCAACTCAAACAAGAATTTAAGGTCCATCTACAAGCACAGAGAGGTGGAGGAAGAGAGGCAGAGGAGGAGGCACAGCACAGAAGGACATGAGAAAGCTGAATGAATGATGTCCATCCTACAGGGCTCCAAAATAGGGTCACTGGAAAGACAACCAAACCACTTTGGCCCTAAAATGACAACAGTAGGCTATCTAATTAACAGTTACTGCTTCCCATACTCATCACCTCCCATACCCTTCTCTTTGTAATGTAATTCCTGTGGAATCACCTCCCGTTTGCATTCCCCCAAGCTGGGATGAACAACAGCTCTGCCATGCTGACCCTGCTGAGCGGTCCTCATAAAAACATAAGGCTGATGACCAAAGGAAATATGATCACTGCCCTTAAGAAAAAAAAAAAGACAAAGAAAAACCCTGCCAAATGATGGAGGGATTTCTCTCAGGAGGTCACAATACCCCGTAAGCTCAGTCTTAGCCCTTGGGCAGCCCTTCCAAGGTCAGGCTGCAGAACCACGGACACCCTGGCAGAACTGGAACCTCGGACTAAACAGTATCTGGGCCACGGAGACTATTTTGTTTTTCCCTTGTTGCCTCCTGTTCAAAACAACACAGTAATGGTGTTTAATAAATAAATAATAAACAACAGCGGTGCGTCAACATTTCCTTTTAAATTAGGCTCAAAAGAGGGAGGTCAACAGCACGTCTGCATATGCTGCATCCCTTTATCAATCCATTTCTTCCCAACAGCGGCCCAGCGCGTCTGCATACGCTGCATCCCTTTATCAATCCATTTCTTCCCACTGGCAAGAGGGGAGGAAGCAGAATTCAAAGTGAACGGGATTTTGTGTGACTGATTCAGCACGTATGAACACAAGTGACAACTGCCTCGGTTTTCACTCCGATGGCAAAGCCGGGATCGATGCAGCAGAGATGTTCTTGCTTGTGAACAGGTGGATTTGTTTGCCCAGCGCTGGGACACGGTCAGACATCCAGAAACCAAAGTGTAAAAAGTAACCTCACGGGGTCTGTGTCAACCCTCTCTCAAAGGGCTTCACATCAGCTCTGCTCAGTTAACACGGAAAAGCTGTTCACTTATGTGTTTGGTTTGTTTTTGTGGTTGTTTTGTAACTGCCAGCCTGAGAAACAGGAGATGATTAACCTTCCAGGAGAAAAGAGGAAACATTTCTGTTCCCTCTCCCCATACACCTTCACGGGGTGCTATATACACATATTTGGTTGTGTGATACGTAGGAAATAGATAATATTATAGCTTGGTTTATGAAATTGCTTTTTATGGCTCCCAGATCTTCAGCAAATGTACAAATAAATATGAAAGAGAGAGGGAATAAGATGCAGAGGCAGAACGCAAAGCAAATAGCGAGATGAGATAGCAGCAGTCTGCTAACTGGATGGCGAGAGCCAAAATCATAAGCATCCAGTTTTTTTAGAAACCCCTGCCAATAGACTAAATAGAATACCATAGGCCAGGTGTCAGTGATTATAATCCCACCGATGCCAAGAAAGTTGCTCCCATTTACAGCAAGCCTGACTTCGGCGCTCTCTCTCTAATACAAGAAATAATTCATAAAGGAAAGACTGAAAAAAGAAGCCCTAAAACCCGTACCTGCAGCTCCCCAGCCTTAAGTGCACGGACCCAACTTGGGGCACCTCCTGGTCGCCCCTGTAGCCTTGTTGTGGGCAAGAAATCTTGAAAATAGAACAACCCCCACCTTCCCTGCTCCCGTGCAGAGCTGTGGGGACAAGAAGAACCCGCACAAATACGGCAGCGTGTTGTTTCCAGGCCAGTCCTGCCCTGGAAACACGTGGTTTGGGGACGAGCTGAACTGGACGCTTCTCAACACAAAATCATCCCTCAGAGCACCTCAGGCCACGCTCAGAATCTGTTCCTTGTCACCAACTATCAGCAAGAGAGCATCCTTCCCAGGTTAAAACGGAACTAAGGCATGATTTCTTTCCTGAAAGACACACGATTTTTGGACATCTCAGCCACCTGCAGACATAGGGGGGGATTTTAGACTATCGTTTGAAAGATAGAACTAAAAAAAAATACCAATAAACTGGTGAGCAATGAATTCTGAAAGCCTGCCTGCCCTCATTTTGCCCTCCCAGTGGTCCTTTGCTGGGAGAAACCTCAGTCTGAGCACAAGGAAAGAGCAAGTGAGAGTGACGGGAGGACGGGCCCGAGCTCTCTCACTTGTACCAAATAATATGTTTCCCACAAGTACGCACATCTAAGTAAATTAGCAAATAATGAGATACTCCATTTTCTCTTTTTTTCCCCAAACATGAAACCTTTCCACTGCTGAAGACACTACAAGGATATTTCTTACCATTTTTAAGTACTGTACAGTGCATATCTATCCTTTTACAAGTGGAACCTTGTAGCTATGGAGACGAAGAATGTTAAATCCAAGCCGAAGATAGTATTTCAGTGGGGGCTTATGGCTGTTACATGTGCCTTCAGTGAGCTGCTGGTTCCTGTCTCCTGAAATCTTCTGTACCAGTAGCCAACACACACCAAATCACACACCAGTACAGGGCATACTTCCCACCAGTCACAGCCCTGTTATGTTCAGTACAGTCTTACCGATTTACATGGTAACCACGAATCCCGCAGACACCACAATAAACAGCTTGAGTTCTGCAAAGTTTTTCACCAGCTTCACTTAATCTGAACAGAATTGGGGGATAAAATTGTTCTGGTGCTGGGATAGCACCTGGAAACCAGGTGAATTGGGGTCCCCTGGTGTTTAAGCTGTGTGTAACAATCAACACCAACTTGAAGAAATTGTGTCATGTTGACCTTCCAGTACTAGGCCTGGTAGGACCCTTCAATATTTTATCTGTCATAATCCAAATTATCTGAATTTCCATCTCCCAAACAACATCCCATATTCCCTGTCTTCTGCACAGCACAATCATGATTCAAATTCTGTTACACATTATGGTTCCATTACATGGACTTCCAGTGATGACGTGTGGATTCAGCTGTCTTCCAAATCATCTTGGTGTAAATTAATCAGCATTTTATTCGAGCTAATGAAACTTCAGAGGTGTTAAGTTTGAGCATGGAGAGGAGACAGCCTTTCAGGTCAAATTAATGCTCTTTGTGACAGCCAGTGAAAATTCAAATAACTTTGTTAGCATCACTTGCTTTCTATTTGTGCTGTTCACAGGAAAAAATCCCCACACCTTGATGGACTGGTGGAAATGACAAGGGTACAACACGTGCTTTTCTTTTTTTGAAGACAACACTGCTCCAGAGAAAGCAACCCCAAAGCATACACTTCCCCCCCCACCCCTTCCCCTTATCTCTGTGGTCCAAAACCAGCTGGATGCCAAATATGAAACATCTTAAAGATGCCCCCTTGTCAGAAAGTGAAAACACCTAACCTTTAAAAAAGTCAGGATCCTAGAAGTGCCCCCTGCTCAACGCTGTCAAAGACATTGGGCAAAGTCTATCATCATCAAACCCAATTCACATAGATGGATACGAACAAATTTCAACAGGCAAATGAAGTTCCACAACAAAGGAAGCAAAATCACCCGTGGTCCCCCAACAGCACATCACGTGTAAGATTAAGTAACAAGTACTGAAGTGTAATCGCACAAACCCTCCTTACCAGGTATAAATAAGCAATGGCATAAGTAAAAACAGTTCTTGCATACACATTAAAAGAGTCATTGACAATATATCATAAGTAAAAACAGTTCTTACATACACATTAAAAGAGTCATTGACAATATAGCAGTGAAAAAATATGGTATTTTCTTGCCAAAGCTGAACAACAGAAACACTGAGAGCTTTGGCTATTTGCATTTCCCATGTTGCTGAGTCAAAACCATGACACGGCCTTAAGCGCGTCAAACCGTTAACTCTACTGGAGTTGTCTCTCAAGCTAAGTCTTCACTGATCACTAAAATGCAAAGAAAATAAAAAACCCAACAAAAAAACCCCCAAGAATCCCCCTCTCCCAACCCAGAATTTGCAAACGTCCTGTTTGATTTATGGCTTTCCAAGGCTTAAGTTCAGAGGAGCAGGTAAAGCAGCTTGTCTGCTCCTGCTTCTGCAGGAAAACATAAATAAGTGCCTGACTCCGGGCTGTGCTGCAGTCCTGCTGTCCCCAGCTCTGCTCCTCAACCAGACAGAAAATGCAGAAAATCTTTGGCATTATCTTTAAATAGGCCATAAACCCCTCAAGATTTGATGTCTGGCCTGGAAGTAAAGAGGTTTCCATATTTATTTTTTTAAACAGAAATGTTCTTCAGCTCCTCTGTTTCTCCCAATACATTAAAAATGGGACTCTTGTAGCCACTGCTAATAAAATGGAGAGTAACCCTCCAGATGCCTTTATTGTAGCTGTTTACTTCAACTTAATCTATTCGATTTATAAATCTGAATTATTCAAAGTAATCACCATCACTTCCCTGACTGTTACTTAATGAGACAACCCTTCATACCGAGCAAACCCAAAAGCAAAGCAACACAATCTCATGAATCTTTCTAGCGTTTAGAGACACCTCAAGAGCTTCAAACATTTACCTCTCCTTCCCAGCAGCTGAAATGGTTTTAGGAGGATCATGGTTCATACCTCGCATTCCCTGGAGCCAGAGATGGTATAGGTGCAGGGCCCAGATCCATTAACCGATACATCCATGGTCTCAGAGTTTGTTGGCTTGTAGTCCACGTAATACTCCTGTAAAGGGGAGTTCATTTGCCTTTCAGACTCTCGGGCCTTTTTCCTGCGCCTCTTCATGAGCGAGTGCTGCTGGAGCTGCTTCATGCTGGCCGGGTACCGCTTCCACGACACGTAGATAACCAACAAAATCATGGCCACGGAAAGAAAGAGGGCCACGCTCCCCGCGATGATTTTGTGAAAGGAAACGTGCTCGTACTCTGGTTCCACCCCGGGCGTCGGGAGCTCTGCGGAAGGGCTGGGCACAGCAGACGTGGGCTGGTTGCTCTCCAGTTTGGAAACGGTAGGTTTAGGAATGAAGACAGGTCTCTGAGGGGTTTTGGGTGTCTGGTAGGACCTTTCGGTAACCACCACCTGGATTTCAGCACAGATATTATATGTTTCCACAGCGTCGCTCACCTTTTCGCCCTGGATGTGTTTAGGGCCTGCGCATATCATAGTGCTCTCTTTATTTCCCTTGAAATTCTTAAGCCAATTAAACAGAGGGCAAATGCTTCGAGTACATTCCCACATATTTCCGGAGAGAGTGATGGAGATGAGCGAGATCCACGTGTTGATGGTCTCCTGAGAGATGTTGGTGAGTTTGTTGGAATCCAGGTTCAGCTTTTGCAGGTTGGGGAGGCACTGGAAGGTCCCAGGCTCTACCCCCGTAATGTCATTGCCTGATAAATCCAAGTTGTGCAAGGAACTCCAAGTCCACGTTAACCCTTGGCTGATGGAGCGGATCCTATTCCACTGCAAATAAATCGAGCGCAGGTTGAAGAGGCGTGGAAAGTGGGCAAAGTTGATCTTAGAAAACTGGTTGTGCTCCAAGTGGAGCTCCGTCAGCTTCAAAAGGCCGGCGAAAGCGTTACGGGATAAGCTCCGCAGGCGGTTGTAGCCCAAATCCAGAAAGTCAAGGTTGCGACAGTCTTGGAAAACGCGGATGGGCACGGTTTTCAGGGAGTTGGAGCGCAAATGCAGGATGAGGAGCTTACGAAGGCCCTTGAACTGCTCAGACTGAAGCACCTGCAACTTGTTGTACGAGAGGTCCAGATTGCGGAGGTTGGGGACCGGGTGAAACGTTTTGTTGTGCAGATGGGTAATTTTGTTGGAGCTTAGAATTAATTCCTTCAGCCTGCGGATCCCCTGAAACGCATCCTCATCCACGGAGCTGATGTAATTATGGTCAAGATAAAGCCATATGAGCTGATTCAGGCCCGCAAACTGATTTGATTTAAGCTTCTGGATGCTGTTGTACCGTAACGATAAGCCTTGAGACCCTCCAGAAATGTTCTGAGGGATGTCTCTGAAGGCGTGAGACTCGCAGTACACAATCTTGCCATCGCATCTGCAGTTCTTGGGGCACGCTCGCTGAGCCCCCGCCAGCACGACAACCAGCACCATGGGAAGTAGCACTAACACCACACTCATGCCTCTCAGCTGCTTAATTAAATGGAAACCTACAATATTAAAAAGAAAACAAAATGGGCATCGTAAAGCTATTAAAACAAACCGCCGACGGATTACTAACGTCAATGGGATTTCTAATGAAGCGTCAGAGAAGCAGTGGATTTTGGAGACAACCTGTTTGCCTCCCCTCTTGCACTTTTTGTTGTGCAAATTCCTGTCCTTTGAGTTGCTGGCTTGCCATCTCTCCTCCCCGCACCATCACCAGTCCCACTCTTGTTATTCAATTACTTTTGTGTGATTTATGATCCCTTGGAAGGACCAAGAGCCTGTTCTCTATTCGCTTTTCTCCTGTACATCATCTCTCAATGTAGCTGGTATATCCTTATCGCTAGATGCTGAGGTTTTAACAATAAACATATTTGTCAAGTCACTGTGCTGAATGCTCCACAGTGCTGGAAAGGAAATGAGCCAAAGCTTCTGCTCTTTACGTGCTGCTGAACCTGCTCCTTAATAAAAGCAATTGCAAGTCCAATTCCTCCAAGAATTAATGCAAAAAGTGAGAAATCTACTTATCGTAAAGTTTGATCCATCTTTAAAACATTTGTTGTAAAATCAAATATTATATAAAGGCTTTATTTTTGCATTGAGTGATTTGGTTTTAAGAGTAGGTTTAAGTAGGTTTACTCATTATCTTTATGAACCTAAAATCCATAAATAGATGCAGAGAACCCAAGTTGAGCCATCCAGAGCAGGATACCACAGAACCCTAGTGTGGAACCCCAATACCCAGATGATGGGAGAGGACATATTTCTTTCAAATGAATCATAGTCTTAGCACATACTCATTTTAAAGTTATCTAGCTGTAGCTGTTAACACCTAAGCATTTATTATCTTGGATATACATTATATACTCTAGGAAAATATACACACAAGTAGGTACATATAAACACTGCCTTAGGAGCAGCAAAACACCGAAAGTTTAAAGGGGTCTATTTGGATTTCAACTCCCCTCTCTCTTCCCCAGATCTACTGATTTTCAGATTTTTGCATTTGAGATGTCAAATTTCTCCTCTGGCAGCGACGGCGCTATGGCAGGACAGGCACATCTTCCACATTCCTGGAATAATCCTGAGAGGGGGCGGAGGGGCTGTCAGAAAACCCAACATACATACGCACGCTCTCCTTAGCCTGTCATCATTTTAGGACTGGTGCCTCTGTCCAGAGTTGCAATCTTGCTGAGAATTAAAATGCATTCCTCCAACAGGGAATATTTTAAGGGCTGGTATCTCCTCTATAAGTAATTACTTTATTATTTATCACACACACACAAAACCAGCCCTGTGCTGCAGTTATCTAATCCAATTTTAAAACAAGGGGCAATCTGAAAAATAATTCCTAATCTAAAATGCCCCTGAGTATGTGTCTCTGCCTTTCACTTTCATGGTTAGATTTTTAATTTAAATCCTCATTTTTTGCTACTGCCTCTGTGCCAGCAGCAGCCAGCTAGAAATATGTTCTGGCTGTTACAGACTTGGGAGCTGGGGGGAAGGAGGGAGGGAAATAAACCTGTCACACTTGAAAAAATAAGACTGGCAAATGACTGCTGGAAATCTCGCAGCAATATTAGGGGTATCTTTTTTTAAAAAAAAAACACAAACAAGCCTTTTCAAAACCACCTATACAAGAAAATCTCCCCCCACCCCTTTGCTTCCCACATACTGCAAAGTGTTAGCAGTCCTTTCTGGCAGCCGAAATACCACCACGACAGGCTCAGAGAACAGGAATATAAACCCAGCAGAAATTCTGAGCGTGCCTCATGCCTCCATGTACTTATCTCTCCGTGTGCAGGTGTGTGGGTGGGTTGTACAGGCAGCGGCCGTACTCTCCACAGCCCTTAACTCGGGGCATGCATTTACAGATTAATTACATATAAAACCACTGCAGGAGGAAAGGTGTGT